TAAGAGAAAAAAAAGCTAAAGACATGTTTGGTTGTGCTGAGGTAATAATGGAAATAAAGTGGGGGAAAAAATGTGTATAATCCAATTGAGGGATGTTTTTTTATTTTTATTTGGAGATACATAGAATAATCCTGACCATGACCTTGTCTGAGGTTAAGGTGAATTTCTCAACTTAGCTGCCCTGCTGCATGCATGTGTGCACATTGACTGATAGTGGCCCCATTACTGATGACTCTAACAAGCTTAGGTCAGAGGCCAGACAGTGGTGAGTGAAAAAGGATGGAGCAAGACTGTTAAAGGTCCTTTAAACACCACCTGCCTTTGCACACAGACACATACACACCCGCGCAGTCAGAATCTTGACTAATTGTTACCAGACCATTTTTCAAACGTATCCCCAGTGCCTCCGGACCCCTGCTTCTTCCCCACAGATGACAAGTCTTTACACAGATTCCAGTTTACACAACATGCTTTCAATTGAACTCAGAATAATAGTGAGGTCATTATTCAAGCATTTGAACACTTCTTATACTTTTTCAGTGTCATCGGTGCTTCTCTGAATTCCCTTTAATGCGATATGTGTTAAATTCCATCTCAGACATTTTGCAACGTAAAAGGAAAACAGCAGCTGCACCATTACGTACATCATTCAACTTGTTCTTTATAGCTCTGAGTAAGATTTCCCAGCGAAGCTTATAATAAAAGACTGAGAATATCCAAAAGACCCTCAAATACTTTCGCGTTTTGGTAGAAAATCTACTGCTGCTTTGCCTTGTTTTCCCCATTTATGTCTGATGGCCTCATAACATCCACTGCAGCCATTCAAATGCAGCATGACGCATCTGTCCATCTCTCATCATCATCCCATACCTCCTAATTTAAACCATTAATTCAAAAGTTCAGCATCAGGAATACCCTTGGGTCTTAATTCATCAGTGAAATATTAAAAATAACATCCATCGTGTGGAGTGAATAACATTAGCTGGGATTCATTTTGGACATTATTTATACTGTATCAATATTTCCAAATTATATTTCATCCCTTGCACCCCCACCCCATCCCCGATATGTCCAGCCAGATTTACTTTTTGCTTTTAGATTTTAGCCTTTAAACTAAAGTAATTACAGAACCCACAATGAGCTTCAAGGAAGTATGCATGTTTTAATCAACCATAAATTATTTATGTTTTTCATTCTTTGGCTTCAGTATCACAGAGGCAGCTTGGCCTCCACACTGCTTCTTAGTAAAAGAAGCATATGGCTGATGTGAAATACGGTCATATTAGGCAAGATGTCAGGCCTACGAGATTAATATTGAGAAAGGGAGAAAGAAGAGACTAGCAGATAGATGAGCAACATATGAAAAAGGCTATCATTCAAGAAAAATACGGAAAAATCATTTGAATTATTATCATAAGGTATGCGTCAGCTGTATTTTTGTAAAATGCTGTATCATGTTTACTGTTTCCTAAGTCAACACTGGTTTGGAAATTTTTTTTTTTTAAATGAGCAAAAAAAATGACTTCTTCAAGCATCCAGAGTACATATTTGGACTTTTATGGATAAAATTAATGTAAATTGGATGAATTAATGTAAATCAGAAAAAAAAAAACGACATAAAATGGGCCATCAAAAAGTACATGGATATAACAGAGCTTTAGGAAAACACTGGTAATCTGCAGCTATACTTTACAATAAACATGGTTTAATGCATTGCATTTATAGTATATAACTATTGTATACATTGAAAAAAACTTTAATAGTGTTTGGTTGTTTTGCTCAAGGGGAAATATAGAAAAGCGGACAACTGACAGGAGATTGTCTAATGTTATATGTTTAGAGGCTGTAGATTGTGGCAATGAATTGGTTGTAAATATACCTTTCTAGCAGTATAGATATATATAGCCTAGACTGAATTACTGTGACATGGAGGAAAAATTATAGGTGTAAATATTTGCAGTGTGGAAATGATTAAGATATTCTGCTGTGAAATACATAATCCTGTTTTTGTTTTATTGATTTTATTTTATTGTTTATTTTGTCCAACACTGAAGTAGTAGTTTCACCGATTTCCTGCTGCATACAGTTAAAAATTCTTTTTGGTGGATGTAGTCTTAATGTTTTGAAAGTGGCCAAAGTCCTTGAATTAATAACCTTATTTCTAAGAGGCATTTGTATCACAACCTGGACCTCATAAGGAAAAGAAAATCTTCCAAATATAGGTGGAAACATGTTAAAGCTGGTCCGCAATTATATGCAGTGCCGATACAGAGAATTGATTTTTTAAGGATATGAACAATTTTGACAAGCCATTTTATTCAAATTTTGACAAAAACAGCAATCTTACTTTATAATTACTAACAAATACCATTTTCATCCATTACAGATAAAACGTCTTGTTTAACTAAAATTGTTTGACATCTACATCTGCTAGGGTTACGAAAACTATTGGACCCAAATGTAATTGCAGTTTAACAGTATTTTTCATCATGTTACTTATGTAAGGATTCTCTGCACTGGTTACATCGCCCTGTACTACTGTGATTTAGGGCGGCTTCTACATTACGTTACACCAACCTTAAATAACTAAAGAAAAATGAGAAAACTTATAAATGATTTGCTAAACTTGCATATAACTTTTTGAGCACTGTGACTTTTTCCATTGTAATAAACAGATATGTGAAAGATTAAACCATAAATGTTGGAAATGGCTACAAGGAATTGACAACTGCTCTATATCAAAATGTATATAATTAAAAATTCTGCTTCACATGGTGCACCTTAAAGAAAAAAAAACAAAAAAGCTATTTGTTTTGTTTGTTTTTACAAACATACTTGAGAACTGCTCTTTTTATTTATTGACATCACCTACAATTTTCCATCTGCTGCGTGTTATATGAGCAAAGGCTGCTTTATTTAAGGTTATACATTTCATCTGCTGTACAGCTGTTTTTAAATGAAGAAAAAATTTTGTCATGCTGTTCAGACATGATGTTCTATATAGATGTTTTGGCTATTCTACTCTGTAAGGGCCTACAGAAACCTCACATGCTGGTGGTAAGTTTGACACAGAAACTTCTACATTATGAAGCAATAACTTAACTCACTTAGCATTGGCCGCTACTGGATGACTGAAGAAGTAGAATGTTTAAATCATTTGCATGATTCGTATGAGAACAGAAATATTTTTTTAGCAATTTTCTTTCTTTTTCATATAGCTGAAATTATAAATATAAATACATGGCTTTAAGTAACCTTGCTCTACTTTCTACGTCTGCTGTGTCTATGGTGAAGCATCTGCATCTTAATAGTGATAGTAGTTTTATATTCAAATCAAGATGGTTATATGAGTTTGGGCACAGTCTTTCCTTTAAACGAGCACCAAAGGTTGTTAAGTATTTATATACAGAACATTTTACAAGATTTTAGTTTTAATGCATTTATTACTTTTTAGTTGAGAGATTTCCCAAAGTGTGTTTTTCATTTTGTGTAAAACTTTTTCCAAAAATATATTTATTGTTCACTACAGTCTGCATTCATATAAAGGGATAGCCTAGATTATTACCACCGGCTTGTGTAAATTGCGCAGCTCTATAAAATGTTTCTTTGGCAGGACTGAGGGCAAAAACGGGCTGACTTATCAGGTTGCTGATGACTGCTCTAAAGAAGCTAAATAGAACAGCTGCCGTGACTTTAAAAAGAGATTTTACTACAAGTGCTAAGTCTAAGCATTAAAGCAGCAACCAATTGAAAATGCTGGGAAAATGAAGAATATCTTTCATGCCAAGTTCTGACAGAATTAAAGACTTGAAGATCAAAGTTCTCTTAAACGCATTAATGACATTAAAGATAATAGATGTGCTAAAGTATGAATTCTGGACTAGAACTGCAAAGAAATTTCTTTATCAAGGTCTGAATTCTTTCTGTATTTGCCTACTTTGAAAAATGCTACCTGGTCAGGGTTTTTTTGTTGCACTTGAGACCATTTAAAAACACATATCTGATCTATGATGCTAATGTCTCCATTTGCATTTATGCAGCAACATTGAGAAGGTCATTTTGCGCCAGAATATAGGAATCAACAAAGTGCATGAACATAACGCCACAGGCCAAATGAAGCTAGGTCACCGGTTCAGGGCTTTTACAGACCAAAAATGTGTCTGATGAATTCAGCTTTTATTTCTATAATTAATCAACTCTTTTTTAAAGCACACGGCCAAACATTTCATACGGTGCTGGATCTAGAGCCAAGGGTTTTTGTTTTTTTTTTTAGAAATGATTTTGGCTCCATCACAAAACTGAATTAACATATTCTCTAAGACATAGTTGCCAATCATTTCCAAAGCTCAAAATTATTTTTCCATGGCTCTTTGGCTTTTGGGAGTTACGGTTGGGGTGGGTTTCTATTTTGAAATAAAACTCCTGTCTAAACAAAAACCTCCCACCCTTGACATTTCATGATGGCAGGTATGATAAGAGGCAAGATTACATCAGAGAAGAAAAATTAAACCTTTACCAGTATATTATACTGGGTATATCTCAAGTTTATATTGAGCTCCATAGCTCACCAAACACATGAATTTTATTTGAAAATCTAAGCTTTACAAAACCCATCCAATACATAGTTCCTAGCATGCCACCATGCATTGTCTTGAATTTCTAAAGCCTCCAAATAAATAGTTCCCTGCTCAAATATTACTGAATCACATTAAAAGGTATGCAGCCCACCCAAAATCAGGGCTCCCACAGTTTCTACAGCAGTCAGACTCTGTTAAGTGTTACAAGTGAAGATGTCAATGCACTGTTTACAACCCTCTGCTACAGAACCCCCACCATCCCCACATTCCTCCTTTAGAAAATTCATTTGTCATTCTAAAAGCTGATGGTTTACACGTCTTAAGCGTTCTGTGAGAGCGCAAGCCTGACCCACAGAGTCCGAAAAATGCTGCCACATGAGTAGGTGTTCAAAAAACAGGGAGTTTGTGTTTTTGATCTCCTACCTGTTATTGTTATGTTGCTGTAGATGTTGGACAGCTGCTCCTTCAGTAGGACGAGCTGTGTGGTGGCTGCCTTCTCCCTCTGCAGCTCCAGCATGATGTCAGGATGGTGGGCCAGTTTGCAGCCTTTTTGTTTGTCCAGTGCAATATCACTGCGCACTATATCTACCAAAAATAAAAATTAGAATAGATATATATATATATACTCTATTTTTTATTAAAAATTAAATGTTGGTATTGTGGGAAAGCTTGCTGTTCAATAGTATATCTCTAGTTTTTTGTATATCTATTTTTCATCTGGTGATATTCAAGAGTGGGAAGACAAATAGTACAGTGGTTACCAAATAAATACTTACATTTTTACCCACAAAATAACCGACTAGATATTGGGTTGAAAATTACAAAAATTATGAATTAAGAGGATTCAATCTTGGAATTTTATCAAAGTCCCCTTAATAATTTTCAAACTTTAATAACCCATTAGGATTCAATAAGTAATATCAGCAACAACAGCCAATAAAAGTGCTTTTAAATGAAATGTAAATCAGAGGAAGGTATTTCTACTGTATTTTTGTGTTATCCACTGCTGCTGTAATGTTTTTAATAGTGGCGCAGCTGCATTCAATTTCAAGATAATGGAGCAGCAGATTTTCCCAACTTTAACTAAGAGGCAGGAAATTGAAATAAGTGCAAAAACAAAATTGAAACAAATAACTCTCACGCATTGTTAATTAATTGGTCAGCGTTTTGAACTACAATTAAAGCAAAGTATAATATTTGCAAAACTTATTTCAAGACGTTTTACAACACAGCTGAGATCCGACCCCGACTTTCTGAACTTGCTTTGAAATTATTCACACAGTGGACATTATTTACTTAAATAATTAGAGAATTATGCTTGGCTTATGAAAGCTCATTAAAGGAATGTTGGGCTAGCATTAATTCAAAGAAGGAGTGAACGTGAACGGGAATAAATTTATCCATCACAGTGTTATGTTGTTTTTTGTTTTCTCCTTTGCAGCGTGTCTTATATTTAGCGGCATCTATTTATATAAAAACATAGTCGCAGTGTTAATGGTAGATGCCAAGTCCCATTTAATTGGGGCAGAGTTAAGGATAAATTGTTTTGGCTCTAAACACATTTTTTTTCCTTCTAGAAGTGAGAGGAGGTGAAGCGTGGACACGAGAGAAAGACGCCATGTTCTAAACACAAACCTAACTAACTAATAAATGAGAGGAGGGGAGAGAAGCCATATTTAATCACCGTCCTCGTAGTTCTTCAGGTAGTAGTCTGGACCGGGGCCTCTGAACTTGGCAAGGTTCTTCTGGTTGTTGAACTGCAGGAAGTCGGTTCGTTTTCCGCCGAAGCGCAGAAAGGCAGGAGACAGGCCGCGCGCCAAGGTCACGAGCCGTCTGGAGCTGCAAAAACACGAGAAAGAGGAAGAAGAAGAAAAACATTTTAGAAAACAACAAACAAACAAAAACTTCATAAGGAAGGAGTGCGTCAAAATCTTCTGCAGAAAGCGTGTTTCATACATGTTTTAATCACAGAAAAAGATAGGAGCAGACGCGCAATATCTGGCTCTGTTTTAGACTCGTTTAATTTAAATAATAATTTTAAAAGCAATAATTAAAAAAAAAGTGAATAATATGCGTTATGTCTTTCCTGGCTATTTTATTTCACTATATTGTCTGTAACAAAGCCTTTTGACTTTCCCTCGTAAAAAGTAGGCACTGAGGATATCAGTGCCGAAAAAGTGTCGGAGGAATGTATATATATATATATATATATATATATATATATATATATATATATATATATATATATATATATATATATATATATATATAT